AAACTGTTTTCAGCACTGATAATAATAAGAAATGTTTCTTGAGCATATTAGAATCAGCATATCAGCATATTAGAATGATTTTTAAAATATCATGTGACACTAAAGACTGGAGCAATGATGCTGAAAATTCAGCTTTACCATTACAGGATTAAATTATATGTGAATTATATATTATATAGAAAGAAATGTTATATATTTATATATATATATATATATATATATTGTTGTTTTAAAAGGAAAAAATATTTCATATATATATATATTGTTGTTTTAAAAGGTAACAATAATTCACAATATTACAATTTTTCCTGTAATTTTTTAATTTTTATCAAATAAATGTAACATAACAGACTTCCAAAACATAAAAAAAAAATCTTAATGACTCATTTGGACAGTAGTGTAAATGGAAAAACCTAGTTTCTTTTTTTAGAAAATATTAACACACAAAACATAACTACACTAATAAATTATAGTCAAAATGTCAATATTGCATTAAAAATGCTGAAGAAAAAGCACAAATATGAAATTATAATGCTTTTGCCAAATACACGTGATAAAACTAACTAGTAGCGAACCGGAGTGTGTGTGATTAAAGTTAGCAGGCCCATTTGTGGCCTATTTCAGGGGGAGGTGTGTCTGTGTTACTACTTATACACACCGCTGTGGCCAGCACTGTTTATTCTGTTACTCAATCTCATTGAGAGAGGAAGAGAGAGAAAAAAAGACAGAAAGAAAGAAAACTTCAAAGGGCCGGCTGTCGAGGAGAGGCAATGAAAACCAGGCCTGGATCAGGAGGTGAACTCTAACTCAATTTCATAAAGAATTTATTGACATAACATAACCTCTCTTAACCTTACAGAAATACTACATAAACTAAAACAAACAGAGCTGCTGGTTTTATTACTACATATCTAAATATAATAATAACAGTAGCAAAAGAAAATTATACATGTTCCACCATAAAAATATACACCTTAAAAAAACATTGTAACAATTTTTGAACACTACAATGACGGAAATTCAATAGTTTTCTTAGTAATCATTCAGTACTTTGGTTCCCAGTTGGCCCCAACAACCATATGGACAAAAATACCTAAACCTAGACCAGGAAGTAAACAGGAAGTGTGGCACTTACTATGCAGACTGTTCTGCTGACGGTTCCTCCACAAGCACATGACGATGAAACCCAGCAGAATGAGCACCATGACGCCCAGAACACAGCCCACGATCAGGTAGAGCAGGCCGCCCGGCTGGCTGGGTGTATCTATGGGGTAAAATCCTGGAGGGGTTATGGGGCGCTGGCTGGGCACACCTGGAGGCTGACGGGCTGAAGGGAAAGAAGTAGAAGAAAGTGAGTTTAAAGGGATGAAACATCTGGATGTCTTTCAAGAGAATATGTCACAAGCTCTACATTTATTGGTTAGTGATTTAGTGTTTTTTTTTTACATTTACAGAAAGAAATGCTGCTTTGCCCATGCAAAATTCACTGACACAATACTTAAAGTATACTTCGGTTTTTACACATATGCCAGGGTATGTGTACAGTGTGCAATGCAAATTTTGCTATCAGCACAGTACGTGCTTAATGTAAAATGGAGTCTACTTTGAAAGGCTATGTGTTCGAATATAAGTTATTTGGACTTTTTTTGAGTGTTTTTGGTTACTAAGGAGTTGTTATGTGGTTGCTAAGATGTTCTGGTGTTGCTAAGGTGTTTGAAGTGTTTTAGTGCACTCCTATACAGTTGCATATAGCATATTGCTATAGAGTGCAACAGTTGGAAGTTAACTGTTCAATTTTTTGTGTTTTGGTTCTGTTTGTGCGCGGCAGTCGTCCATGAGGGGCTGTCGCGCTATTTTGTGTTTGTTTATTTTATTATTAAATTATGTTTGAATGTTCGCCGGTTCCAGCCTCCTTCTTCCCGATCTACGAACGTTGTTACAGGAATGATTTTGAATGATAATTTTTAAACGTTTAAAGGCTGAGCTATGAGGTTGAGCTACGAGGTTGTTAATCAATGGTATATGCTTTTGTCGAAGCCAAAGCAAAAGACTGCGAATTACGTAGAGTCAGTTTCCATGCGTTCTCAAACTACATATCATTTGCATGCATAATATTCATCTTTTGCAATAAAATATGCTATTTCTATATAAATAACACCTTTAAATCAATAGATTTCCACTGTTTTTTTAATTCAGTTATGTTATTCACAATGCTTTATTGATTTGTAGTTCTTTCTCTCATTAAAGCCATTAAGCACAGTCTTGTACCTTTGTCTTTTTGTCCAATTTTCAAATATTTTTTGCTTCAGATCAAAGTTCTGTAATGTTCTGATTCACCTCGTGGCTGGTTGGTTTAGTTCATAGCTTATAACTCTGAAATAAAGACTTTTTAAAAATCCCTACAGGAAAAAAAATGAATGGTAAAAATGCTTAGTTGCTGATAAAGTGGGCAGCACTGTTGCACTCTATATTTGCTCCTCAACAAGCAGCACAATTTGATGAATCATTCATGTCTGTAGAACTAATGGGGCGGGATAAATTATGTACCGTTTAATACTAACGCTCTAAAACTTGGGATTAGGGGTTTGTTCAAAACTCTAACCCAAGTATAAGCAATAATAAAGCACCACTAACAAGTGCTGGCACATAACAATGCAACTGTTGTCAGTCTCAAAGCTTGCGGCAGCAGCCGGTCTGTTTGCACTCCATGATTTTTATTTGCTCTGGCTGTGAATGACGCTCTGGTTTGATTTCAACAGTGCTGCATTAGGGCAGTTATCAGGGAATGATGTCAAGGAGACGCAGCACAATGTCTCTCTTTGTCTAGCTTCTAATAAAATGATAGCTCGCTTTCCTCTGTCATTACCGCAGGGGCTTTATGGGTTCCTGTCTACA